CGACGGAGATAGACCAATCAAAATGCTTTGCGCCTCTGGACCCAGCAAAAAATAAATTGGAGTGTTACGAGAGGGTGCACCCCCACCCCCTGTTTTAACCCTAAATTTGATATTTTACAGTATAGATTTGAAAAATTTTTTGAAAATAATTGATTTGCGACAGTTTTAGTAGCTATATTATGTGTGATCTACAGCAAATAATACGAAGTTTGACTCCGAGAGGCAGTGCATCTGTGTGCCGGAGTGAGTCTCCGAATAGTTCCTGGGTGCCCACCGGAGACGTCTCCGGATATCTTCTGCCAGCTCTGACAGGCAGGGTCGGAAGCCCGCCTACTAAATGATCTAACTTTTGTCAATATGGGGAGTAAAACACCGCGAAAAAAGAAAGAAAAGAAAAGCACATGGACACAAAAGTGGTCAATTAGTGCAAGAGAAAGCAAGGCAAAATACACGTCTAGAACGGATGCATGGGTAGTTGGCAGGTGCTATGGTGTGGTTTTCTCCTTCTTTCCTCCTATAGAATCCTAAATTTCTTCTCTTTCCCTTTTGTTTGTTACTCTTTTGTAACACCTCTAATCTTCAACACTTAAAATGACCATATTGGCGGGTGCTCTGGTGTGGTTTGCTCCTTCTTTCCTATCAAACATCTATCGTCCTGATCTCTCCTTCTTTTTGTTCGTTATTCTCTTGTGACACCGCTAATCTTCGGCACTTATATGACCCTATTGTGTTGCAAGTGCCGTAAAACTCTTACTAAAATTTAACTTTCTTGACCATATAGTGTTGCAAGGGGCGTAAAATGTTCACATTAAACAAGAAAAAGAAAAGAAAAGAAGTAACAGACCTATCAGGGGCACCCTCCTACCACTCACCCCATCTTGTCTATACTGTGGTCAAATTTTTCACAAGATCAGAATCCTCCACTTTAAACTTTACAATGATGTATGCCACTCATGAGTCATATGTAGATTAAATATTACGAAAATTCCAGAAAATGGGCCTCTCACTCTCAGACTAGCAGAAGCTTAGAGACCCTGTCTGTTTTCCGGCATAAGATAAAAAAACAAACAAACAAGACAAAGCAAAACAAAACAACCACTCACCTCAAAATAATACCGCACCACAGGGCTCAGCAGCGTGGATATAGCGTAAAAAGAACCTGTGTTTATCCCTGTAAAGACAAATAAAAATTGTGAAGCGTGCTGACAAAATGAGGTACTTCTCGGATTCGATCCCTATGGAAGTGGATACATCACGCTTATAGGATAAGTTTTTATAATTTTTAAGTATGAAATAATAAAAGGAATGTTATACTTAAAGTTAAAGAATATGGCATTAATAAAAAATCTACAAATTTGACCCTAGTGTCGATTTTTGGCCAATATCTCCATTTGTGGATTGCAAGAACACCTCACAATTGGTCGCTTTTAAGCACAAGGGGGCTATCCCGAAAAATGTTGTTTTGAGAAAATCGAAAAAATTTTGCCCCTTGTTTAGTTTCTTTAAAATACAAGGAGAGCTTTCTCTATAACCAAACAAATATACACACCAATGAAACCCAATTTCTCCTAGAGGTAGGGCAATGCCCACTTTTGATGTAGATCAATTATAACAAAATCTACATAGTGCATGCAATAGAAACAAGAGTCAATTACTTGAAAAACTCAATTACTGTTTGTGATAAGGGGTGCCCATTTGGGGGATCGGGTCGTGTCCGGGCGGTTTGCTAGCCAAATTACAACTCCGGGGGTACAAAATGACATCAGGGCGTACGGATACGGTTAACTTACTTGATCTAACGTAAGCGGAGTATCCTGTCTCCGTAACGCGTATTTGGGTAGCGGTAACGTCATTCATGGAAGACACTTTTAACTATTTTAACCCTATCCGTACACCCTGGGGGTCATTTTGTACCCCCGGGGTAGTATTCTTTACAGTTTAGAATACTTCTAGTTCGAAGATCTCTTTGAAACATTCAGTATTTCTACAAAAAATCATTTTGACAGACTGCTATGCAAAGCGTACGGATCGGATTAACGAGTAAATTTCCTCTTTGGAAAGGGGTGGCACAGAGTTCCCCACGTCGTATGGATACGATAGTAAAACACGACGTCCAGATTGGGTTAAAGAATGGGGGAGAGGAGGGGGGTGGGTGAAATTTACTTTTTATTAAAAGCCCTTGAGGGCATCCGTGGAAAGATATGAGTGTCGAACCATACCTAACCATGTCTGTCTCAGAATGGCGTTTGAAGTTTGAAGAAACGCGCCGTGGTTAGGTTACACTTCGGCCCCCCTTTCTAAAAAACAAAAACAAAACAAGGTCAAAGCATCTCTCAGAGATGACGTCACATCGGCCCACAAGTGGCTTCTCAGAGAATGGAGGTCCCTGGGTGTCCGTACTACTCATAGATCAAGGAAATTCAATATATAGAAAAGGGGGGGGGGGGTTAAAGTTTACTTTAAATTGTGAGTTAGGCCATGCATGAGAATAGTTGTGACTTTGTTGTTGCTGATGTTTTGTTGTTGTTGTTGTTGTTTTGTTGTTGTTGTGGGGGGGGGGGTTGTTTATTTGTTTGTGTAAAGAGACGCACATCGACATAACGGTCTCATTACATAAGGAAGAAGCAGGACAGATAGACAACACGTCGGCACTTATAATATGACCGCACTGTGTTGCAAGTGCCGTAAAACTCTTACTAAAACAAAAAGATAGACAGAAACAACAGAAGGAAAGAAAAAAAGAACGACCTACCAGTGGCGCCCCATCCCCAATCCCCTATCACCCGCATGCACGACCAGTGGCGTCTCCTTCCGCAATCACTAATCACAGGCATGCACGAGCGACCAGTGCCGCCCCCCTCCCCCCTCCTCCTAATCACCCGCAGCATGCAACAGGACGAGGATAGAGGAGCTCACTCACCATAAGCGATTGTTAGCACGATGAGGATAGAGGAGCTCACTCACCATAAGCGATTGTCAGCACGACGAAGCCCCGGTTCTTGATGAGTCTGAGAAGTGAGGCAAAGTAGTTCTCGTGGGTGGCCGCCTCCACCGCCAGCTGCTGGGCCCGGCTAGGGGGGAGGGGAGGCTTTTCTTTGAAAACTGGACAGGAGAGTGGACGGCAGTGAGATCTCAGATCACAGATTGAGGGATGATGGTGATGATGATGATGATGATGATGATGATGATGATGATGATGATGATGATGATGATGATGATGATGATATTTCTAATATCACGCACACACAAAAATTAATAAATGCGTAGCTCTGATAGTACGTTACTTTGATATTTTTTTTGGGGGGGTGAATGTGTAAGTTTGTTTAAAAATGAGCAGCTTTGACAGCTTCCCACCGCAATATGTCGCTCTCCTGTCAAGCCCTGTACTGGTGGGAGGGAGGAAAATCAATGTTGGTACAAGTAAGCAAACAAAGCGGGCGCAACATAATAATGATTTAATGTATCCACAATAATTTTTTCTAGTTGGCAATTTCGTTAAAAGGGTTTCCGACAGAAGGAAGTATGAACTAGGGCCGAAGAAGAAAAGAAAAGTAGGACTGTAAGAACAGCAGCAGCAGCAAAAATAACAACAACAATCAGCAGAACAACAACAACAACAACAGCAACAACAACAACAACACACACACACACACACACACACACACACACAACACGCACGCACACACACACACACACACAACAACTACACTCTAATCGGTTCTACAAAGCGAGAGTGCTCCAGCACACCTTTCACTTTCAGCGCATTTGTCCATCGCCGCTTCTTGCACGGATCCTTGTTCACCTCACACCACAGAATTCTACACTTAAGTGTAGAATTCTGTGCCTCACACAGACTCATCACAACCCAGAGTAAAACGCCCTCAATGCTGGAGCCCTCCGGCTCGGTATCTGGCCTGTACAAGCGAGAATGCCCCACCACCCGTTTAAGCGCATTTGTCTATCTCTGCTTTTCGCACTGATCATCGTTCACCTGACCGAGAACCAGGCCGGCCTACATTCTTACTCTGAGCGTCTAGCGCCGGCCCTCAAATCCGGAGCCACCCATCTCGGCTATGCGGTCTGTTACTCAGAAAGCCTAGGAAGGACCCCACACTAAATCCCAGGTGAATGTGTATAGAAAGAGTAAACGTAAAAAGGTGTAAAGGAGGCAAAAACCGTAGTAGCCAAAGCATTCTGGCACCCAGCTGCTTAGACAGCCAGACAAGGGGGAGCTCTCGTGGTCTAGAGGTTAAGGTGTTCGCTACTCATTCAAAGGTCCAGGGTTCGAATCCGGGTAGCGACTGAAAAATTTTCTTCTCTAAAATTGTCTCCTTTCACCTCCTTTTCTGCTCTCTAGCAATGTTCCGTCGTCTGCTTTAGTCTCCACTTTCTGCCCCCACCCCTCACCTCCATTGCCCCTTCCTCTAGGCTCCTGACTCTTTCTTTCCCCTTTCTACTGCTACTCCTTAGCTCCTATTTATTTCAGCCAAACCCTGATCTTCTAGTAGGAAAGATCTACACCTAGACTTCTCGGAGAAGGGCGAAAAATCTCGGAGGCTTCGTGTGCAAGTTGCGCACGTTAAAGATCCCTGGATGGCCTAAAATCAATAAGAGTAAGCTTCGGCCGCCACCTGGGCAAAATTCAAAATTTCCTGCTAACTAAAAATGTTTGGTGTGTCCCACGCGCTCATATGACCATATGCAGTTGCGAGCGTCGTAAAACACTGACCCCCCCCAAAAAAAAGAAAAAAAAAGAAAAGAAAGGGAGACAGGGAGACAGACCAAAGACGTGGTGGAATCAGACGCTCGTCAATTTTTGGATATATGGAGTTATTGGTACCATTATAAATCATGGTAATTTGTCTTGCTTGTTACTAAAAAAATTACCCATCTGTCTTGAATAAAATTCGAGATAATATTTGCAATTGAACAAGGTGGGGGTCGGCTGATTTTAGATGTAAAATTAGCAAGAAAATGGATGCCAAAGCCTTGTGTTCTACATAGCTTGAGAGACCTTGGAAACAAATTATTAATTTTTTTTGGGGTTCCTTTTATCAACTATTTTCGCTGAAATCGTCACAGAAATATGTTTTTCCATAAATATAAAAGTTCTTGAACCAAAAATAATTAAAAACAATTTTTAAAAAAATTGTAAAGCCAGCGGAAAAAGGCACATTTCTCTGATTTCATTGTTTTGAAGAGCGCCTGATTTCACCCAACTGTCTCACTAATGATATCTTTTTGTTCCCATGACACTAGTCGTGGATAGAACGAATTCTCACTTTTTGTTGTAGACGTTTCTATCTGCTGGGTGGAACAGGTGGACATGTGGGACTCAGCGGTCTGGCATTGCGTTTACTTTACTTACTTTTTACTTTTTTCTTCCGCTTGTACCGGGGGGTGTCGCGGGGAGAGACAGGCGTCTGTCTGCAGCAAAGCGAGTGGTCTGTAGAAGAGACATCCCGTGAGCTCTGAGA